TCCGGGGAGAGAGAGGAACTAGGCCCCACTGCTGTGTTCTAAGCAAAGTTTGGATGTGAGCGTGGCGGAATCGTTGCATATTTATTTGCTGGTTATCTTCTGAAACCATTCCTGAAAAGACAGGAAGCAGACAAAGCAAAATGGGAAGGGTAGCAAGACTGCTAAGTAAACTTGGGGCAGACTGTGATCCTCTCACCCTGTTTCTGTGTGCGTGTGTGTGTGTGGTTTTCTCAAAGCCTCTTTGGAAGGCTGCTAACTTTCTGGATCCCCCAGTCAGGGAGATGGGCCTTTCTGACTGAGGAAGAAACTCTCATCCACCCAGGCAGGTGCATTCTGACCTCAGCAGCTGTTTCAAGACAAAACATCTTGGTCTTCAACATTCTATACAATCTGAGCATATAGAATTTGGAAAGAAGGTAGGAGCAGAGCACACCACCAGTTCAATTTTAAGCCTAAAAGGAAAATGAAATGGCAGGGGGAAGGAAGGCTCCCAGAGGGAAAGCCAGAGAGAGCAGCCACAGGAGTGGCTCTGCCACTTCTGTAAGTTCCTTAACCTTCCTCTGCCTCGTCTTCCCTATCTGGAAAATGGGGATGGGATATGTAGAGCTCTGATATGTGGAGAAAGTTTAAAAGAAATTGTGTCTATAAAATACTAACCATAGTGTCTGGCACATTATAACCAACTCAATAATATTAAGTACTATCCAGGCCAAAACGGAATTTCTTCTTATTTTGCTAAGTCCATACTGACTGTCACTATTACTTTTAAATCAAGGTTGACTAGTCATAAGTGTTTCTTTTTTTCAGCTTTCCTTTAAGAACTACAGATACAGACATACAGCATTATATTGCCATAGATCTTTCTACCCTTTAAGATGAGAAAAAAGTAAATTATTTACCAAAAAGCTACAGAAATTAACGCCTATTTAAAGCCTAGTATACAGACATGTATATGGCAACTCTGCATCTAAATTTAATCCAAGGATAACTGTATTGAGAGGTGATCTTGGCAATGAACATGTTTGGAGAGTGGGGACTTTCTCATTTGATAATTAGTTTGGTTTCTAGGGGGAAAAAATACTTGCAATTGCAAAATTTGCAATTTCATGTAAGGATGAACCTTTTCCTTTCCAGAATGTAAATGTTATCTCAGTTTGAAGACAGGGAGAAGAGGGACAAAGAACAACAGATGCTTTCATTCGACAGTATGTATCAAGTGGCCACTATGAATCAGGCCCATATGAATTCATTCAAAACACTATGCAGTGTTGCCAAAAGTAAGAGATCCCAGATGTAATAGCACAGGAGGTGGCAGGTCTGGATTATTGGGATTAGGAAGGGTGCTAGGAAGGGAGAGCCCAGATGGAGAGGGGTAATGCTTTGTTAGAGGGTCAGGGAAGTGTCAGCCACAAGGCCCTGACAACTTGGGAGAAGGTGTCTTGCCCCACTGCTCCTGGGACTCACCCTTCTCCAGCACAGGGTCTGATGCACTGCAGACTCTCTGGAGCTGGCCTCAGGCTCCACCTCTGCCTCTCAGCCATGCTCTCCACTCTTGGGAGAGGTCATGAGAGTAGCCAGGCAGAAAAGAGCAGCCTCTGCCAGGGAGAGGGGCTGCCCACCTAGAGAACCAGGCTGCCAGTATCCCTTGTCAGCCCGGTGTAAATTATGGCTGGGCCCTTGCGTTAGGAATCGCATGGGCAACTTCCTAAAATGTAGATTCCGTTAGCCCCACAGACCAAAATCTTGAAGATTTCCTGAAGCCGGGGTAGCCAAGGGCTCAGAGACTCTAAAGCTTTTTTTTTTTTCCCTTCCCCACTTTTTTTGGGAGAAAGCTTAAAGTACAAAATAGTGGCAGTGGGGCTAAATCTTTGATTTTTTTTTTTTTTTTTTTTAGTGCAGTGTACCTAATACTGGGCTTCTCAGGTGACTCAGACAGAAAAGAATCCACCTGCAATGCTGGAGACCTAGGTTCAAGCCCTGGGTCGGAAAGATCCCCTGGAGAAGGGAATGACTACCTACTTCAGTAGTCTTGAGTGGAGAATTCCATGGACAGAGGAACCTGGCAGGCTACGGTCCATGGGGCCGCAAACAGCCAGACATCACTGAGTGACTAACTTTCATTTTCACCTACTACATAATCTACTCCATTGCTTTTGTTTTCAGGGGCAGAATTCATATTAGCCTTTGTCATGTGTTTCGTTATAGAAAAGACCTTTTCTTTTTCGTTCAAATTCAGAGGTTCAAATTACCAGAAGGTACTGGTAGGCTACATGTATCCTATTTTCTGAAAACAATGGCTAAATAGCACTCCCCAGAGCAAAGGGTTGGTTTCAAGGGCTGAACTCACTTGGGCAAATCTCTACCTCACAGTTTTTGTTTCCAAATCCCTGTGATAGAGGATATCTTCTCAAGTGAAGATTAAACGAGGTGTTACTTGTAAAGAGTTAAGCAGAGTATTGCCCGGAGGTTCTCACGAAGTTCCTAGAAACCAACCTGGTATGTATCGAAATGTACCACCAATCTCATTTCTTACAGCGGCGGTCTATAAGGTCTTGCTCAAACTCCAATTCTCTTACACTCTTCCCTTTTGCTGGTAGGTAGTGCTCTTCTCCCTCCTCAACTACCAATACAAGTCCACTTTTCCAGATCCGATCTAAAGGACGCCGCTCCTCTCGTCTCCCCAGCTCTCCTGGTCTCAGCTAGTCCACCACTGTGTGTGTGTGCCAAGTTGCTTCAGTCCTATCCGACTGTCTGTGACCCCGTGGACTGTAGCCCACCAGGCTCCTCTGTCCATGGGGTTCTCCAGGCAAGAGTGCTGGAAAGGGTTGCCACGCCCTCCTCCAGGGGATCTTCCGGATCCAGGGATGGAACCCGCGTCTCTCATGTCTCCTACATCGGCAGGCGGATTCTTATCCAGTGTGCCACCAGGGACATCCAAGTCCACCACTGCTCTATGTCACATCACACTTCTCTCACAACATACGCGCAGTTATGCCCAGGTGACTAGATCCATATTCATGGGAATATGCATCTGGGGAAGCGATGGACCCGTGAGAATCGTGTGGCTGCTCGTCCCGCGATCCCTTCCGACTCCCGCACCTCTCGAGGCCTGCGCTGAGGAGTAATGGCTTCCGTCTGCAGTCCCGCTGGTTCCTCCGCTTTGAGAGCAGCTCCGCAGGGCACCGGCAGGGGGCGGCGTTGCCACGCAGCTGGAGGCTCGGCGGGTGACCGTCCCCCCCTAACCCCCCAACACCCCCGTCCAGGCGCTCAGCATCGGTGACGAGGCCGGGGCTCCCCCTGTTCGGAGGGGGTGGGTCGTGTTCGCTCGCAGGCAGGGCGGCCGGGGTCGTGCGGGGCCACAGGCGGGAGTTTCCAGGCTTCCCAGGCGCACCCCCCCTACCACCACCTCAGGAGCCCACGGCCTCCACGAGAAGGAAAGTTACTCTTTTAAGTTTGAAAAGAGGTATCGAGCAGCCAGAATTGACAGTCCGAAGAAAGGGGGGCGCTTTCTAGCAAAGACCGGGGTGGGGGGGGGATGGGTGTGAGCGCGAGGGCTTGCGGAGATAACACCACGCTCGTTTCGCGCCGCTGAGGCGACTGAAGTTGAGGGGCTGCGAGAGGAACGCTTGTGTCCTTTAAACTCGTCCTTTTCGCGGGTCGTGGAACACCAGCTCGTTTCACACTGACAGTAGCACACTCACTTGAAAAAGGAAAACCTTAAACGCCCCAGGAACGAACGCGGTTCTCCGCCTCAGGTTTCGGGGAGAGACCGCGCCGCCGGAGCGTCTGGCCCGGCTCGGCAGCCCTTCGCGTGACCCAACGGCCGCGCGCTCCCCGCGCGCCGCACTCCGGGCCCGCCGGGTCCTCAGACGCTGGCCGCGCGCCCTTCCGGCTGTCAGGCCCGCCGGAGCGCCCGCTCGGGGACGCGCGCTGGCCCCGCGCCGCGCCCCCGGCCGCCCCGGCCCGCTCGCGCGCGCGGGAGACAAGCGCACGCTCCGCCCCCGCGCGCCGCGGGCTCACGCCGAGCTCCCCGCGCCGCCTGAGGTCTCGAGAATCGAAACCCGGGGGAGCTCGCCCTGCCCCTCGCGCGCGCCGCCTGACCGGCACGGGGAAGTGGGCGCCTTAGTTCTCGCCGAGGCCGGGTTTATTAACGGAGTAAATGGCCTAGCTTTACACCACACATTGTCTAATAAAACGATGGTCGGGGGTGGGGGGAGTCGAAAGAACTTCTGGAACCCCGTCCATAAGCTATAATGACGCGCCAGAAAAGGCGAGAATTTTATGTTTTGGGAAGTTTCTGCAGTTGCGCGAATTTCGCCGAGCTCCGTTTGTGCGGGCGACTTAGAACTCTTGAGGCATCGGAAATGTTTCTTCGTTGGAGGGGGAAAAAAATAAAAAGAGGGGTTTTGTGTGTGTGTGTGTGTGTGTGTGTGTGTGTGTGTGTGTGTGTGTGTGTGTCGGGGGGGAAATCCATACGTCAGATATACGTACATGCACAGGAGTGCACACTCACACCCGCCTCCGGCCTCGCGCTCCAGGACCGGCTGCCTTCAGCTCCGAGGGGCTCCGGCCGCGGGGCTGGCGGGCGGGCGGGCGGGCGGGCGGGGGCGGCACCCTATGCAGATGAGGAGGGTGTGGCGATTCGTGCGGCGCCGGGCCCCGGAAGCGCCCAGAGGACCTCGTATAAAAAAAGTACTGAGGCCGTTTCTCCCGCACAACTGCTAAAGCTCCAGAGACAGGAACGTGTGCGGCGGCGGCGGCAGCAGGAGCCGCCACCTCCGGGACCACCGCGACTCAAGCGGCGCGGGCGGGGGCGAGGGGCGGGAGTGGCCGGCGCGGGCGGCGGGGGTCTAGGAAGGACTCGAGTCGCTCGCCGCGGCAGGGAGCGCACTCGCTGCTCCCGAAGAGTTGTCGCCTCGCAGTTTCTCGCTCGCCGCGCTCCTAGAAGGGGCGGCCGCCTCCAGGTGACACAGACGGGACTCCCGCTTGCGCTTTTCCAGATGCATCAGAGATACTTTTGGTGCGGGGCTGCTCTTGCGGGGCGCGGCGCGCGCGGCTGGGGGACCGCGGGGGCCTGGGGAGGGAGCGTCTCCGGGGTGCCCCCCAGGGCGAGGCGGGGGGGGATTCTAGCGGGGAAAGGGGGCGCGTTCTTGCCTCCGCGGGGCCCCCCTGTCCGCCCGGCCGCTCCTCAGCGTCCTCAGCGCGCTCCTTTCCCCACTCCCCCCCCCCCCCCCGTTCTCTCTTAGGACCGACCAGGGCCAAGTGGCGTTCGGCGGGCACTTCATGGCGGAAGGCGAAGGGTACTTTGCCATGGCCGAGGACGAGCTGGCCAGCGGCCCCTACATCCCCCTGGGCGGCGATCTGAGTGGCGGCGACTGCGGCGGCGGCGGCGGCGGCGGCGGGTTCCCCGGGCATTGCTTGGAATACTGCGAGAGCCCCACGGCGCACTGCAACGTGCTGAACTGGGAGCAAGTGCAGCGGCTGGATGGCATCCTGAGCGAGACCATCCCAATCCACGGGCGCGGCAACTTCCCCACGCTCGAGCTGCAGCCCAGCCTGATCGTGAAAGTGGTGCGGCGGCGGCTGGCCGAGAAGCGCATCGGCGTCCGCGACGTGCGCCTCAACGGCTCGGCCGCCAGCCACGTCCTGCACCAGGACAGCGGCCTGGGCTACAAAGACCTGGACCTCATCTTCTGCGCCGACCTGCGCGGGGAAGAGGAGTTTCAGACTGTGAAGGACGTCGTGCTGGACTGCCTGTTGGACTTCTTACCCGAAGGGGTGAACAAGGAGAAGATCACACCACTCACGCTCAAGGTAAAGCACACCCCCCACCCGCCACCCCAGAGGAGCCGGGGGCCCCCGCGGTGGGCCGGGCCCGAGTGCTGCACGGCTGACAGCGGGGCTCGGGTCGGCCACCCGGACCGGTGTGCGCGCCCTGGCTGATTTTGCTTTTGAGTTGGTTTTTTTTTTTTTTTTTTTTTTTCTGAGTTCATGAAGATGCGTGGACTTGTGTCTGAGTGTTTTCGTTGACTTGCTGCTTCAGCGCCCCGCGCCTTCTGCTTCCTCATCTGCCCTGCCCTCTCTTCCTTCTCCTTATTTTTTAACTCTTGGCTTTCCTTGCTTGAGACGTGTCCGGAGTACATTCGTACATTCTGATAAGTAGAAGAGTGAAATGTTGTCTTTTTTTTTTTTGAGTCATTGGATGATTGAGTCTCTGGGAAAAAGAGCAGCCTGCAGCAGAGGCGAGTCAATGGGCCTATTATTGTATTGGAAAATGTGACTAGATTTTGTAGCTGCTTTCTGCTGACTGCAGGCATTAAGAATAAATAAAGCTCTTCTCCGGGTTGGTTCTTGGGTTCGGGATATAATGCGTCCCCTCCTCCCCACTTTGGCGCAAAGCGCGTTTTATGCAATTAGTTAAAATGATCGGAGGAACCAGCCTCCCAGAATGTCTTAATTTAGTTCATATTTGATTTTAGCTGCAGAATCCCAGCGGGAATCCATAAGATACTGATCCTATCAGTTGCCTGGGGGGTGGAGGGGAAACTAGGTGACTAGGGGCAGGATGAGAGGCAGACTGACTTTTCACTGTAGGCCCTTCTGTCTTTTGAATATTGTGGCTATATTGTGTGAAGCTTGTACCTATAAGAACATTCTCAGAAAATAACATTTCAAAAGTCAGACATGACAACAGAACCGCTTAGTACTGTGCTATGTCTGCCAAAAGCCTCAAACTATTACTTCTAGTCTCTTTCCCAGACAGCAGAACCACTCGTTAAATGTATTTTTTGGTTGTTGTTTTCAGAAGACTGTTTAATGTTTAAATTTGTAGGTAGTGTTTTGCTGAAACTTGACAAAACAAAAGGGAAGGAGCAAAATGATTCTCAGCTGTGATGAGGATGTATTTATTATTTTTTTCTAGGTTTGCTCATCTTCTTGTTTTGTCTTTTAAATTGTAGGAAGCTTATGTGCAGAAAATGGTTAAAGTGTGCAATGACTCTGATCGATGGAGTCTTATATCCCTGTCAAACAACAGTGGCAAAAATGTGGAACTGAAATTTGTGGATTCCCTCCGGAGGCAGTTTGAATTTAGTGTAGATTCTTTTCAAATCAAATTAGACTCTCTTCTCCTCTTTTACGAATGTTCAGAGAACCCGATGACTGAAACGTTTCACCCCACAATAATTGGGGAGAGCGTCTATGGTGATTTCCATGAAGCCTTTGATCACCTTTGTAACAAGATCATTGCCACGCGGAACCCAGAGGAAATCAGAGGGGGAGGCCTGCTAAAGTACTGCAACCTCTTAGTGAGGGGCTTTAGGCCGGCCTCTGATGAGATCAAGACCCTTCAGAGGTATATGTGTTCCCGGTTTTTCATCGACTTCTCAGACATTGGAGAGCAGCAGAGAAAACTGGAGTCCTATTTGCAGAACCACTTCGTGGGCTTGGAAGACCGCAAGTATGACTATCTCATGACCCTTCATGGAGTGGTGAATGAGAGTACCGTGTGTCTGATGGGACATGAAAGAAGACAGACTTTAAACCTGATCACAATGCTGGCTATCCGGGTGCTAGCTGACCAGAATGTCATCCCTAACGTGGCCAATGTCACTTGCTATTACCAGCCAGCTCCCTATGTAGCAGATGCCAACTTTAGCAATTACTATATTGCACAGGTCCAGCCAGTGTTCACATGCCAGCAACAGACATACTCCACTTGGCTACCCTGCAATTAAGAATCATTTGAGAATGTCCTGTGGGGAAGCCATTTCAGACAAAATAGGAAAAAAAAAAGAGAGAGAAAAGAAAAATAAAAAGAAAAAGGCTGAATGACCCAGCCCTGATTAGGGATATGTTTTGTGCCATGATGGTCTGCTCCTGGTTTTAAACTTGGCAAAGCTTTGTGGATCTTTTCATAGGTACGGGGGCACGATCTCGAAATAACCCACCCACCACCACCAACCCTCCCACCTGATTCTCCTACCCAATTGGATTCTTTCCTGAAACAAAAGAGACCTGTCATTAAAAGCAACCAGGTTCTCCTAAAATAACAAGAGACAGAGGAAAAAAAAAAGTTTGATGACAATATGGGTTTGCAGTACCTGCTCCCATAGCTTTGCCGTAGGAAAAAAAGACAAGTGGATAGTTTTTTATAAGATGGAATTCACAAAAGGGAATATATGGAGATTAAAAAAAGGTCTCCCTCCAACTTAATTATCAATTCAGGAGTTCAGATAGTAACAATAGTACAGAAATAAGGGGTACACCAACATTGGGATTGCTGGGGCTTGTAGCGAATACTATCTGTGGAACTCTCCCATTGCGCTAATAGAAATGGCTTGCTCCAAATGAACAGTAGTAGGTTGGTGCAGTTCTCATAACAAACTGCAGAACTTATGATGACACAATCCATTATTTCCAGCTGCGTGCATAGCTCACATTTTTTAAAATGTGAAAATGCAAGCAAAAACAGCTGTAGCAAAGAAAGTATGCTCAAGGACCAAAGATTTACCAGATTAAAAATACCCGAGTAGAAGAGAGATAGTAGAATATATAAAGAGTTACTATATTTGTTACACACCAATATACATCAAAGTGCCTGTTGCCTTCTGAAAATTTGAAGTGGAAAAATTTTATGGTTTAATGACTTTTACTTTATCAGGGACTCAAGAAGAAAATAAAACAACACATAAGCTTGTGAATGGTGGAGGAGATGCCCTATTTTTTTCTTGACAAATACTTGTATAAATTTAACCTTGTTGGTGTGATGTTATCCTAGGTACATGTGTATGTGTGTGTATATTATGTGTATATATATACATATTTGTGATATGTGTATATACACACAGTTCATTGACTATGGTCTAGAATAATGTAGCAAATAGGAAATGTTTAAATACTGTGTGCTTTTATGTTTTCAACAGGATGACCTGAGACGTGGGCATATTGCAGTGATGAATTAAATCCCACATCTAAAAATCTTAAAGTGAATGAAGGAGGAAAACAATTAATATATTTGATAGATTGAGCAGAGATTATACCTTTTTAGTGAGTGTTTTTTTTTCTTTTTATTTTGTGAGCCATAGAATTCCACAATTGGGAGAATATTTGTTTGGCAGAGCACTCTTTTTTTTATACTGAACTGCCATTTTGACAGTTTGAACCCTTTTAGTTTTTGTAATACTTGCATACCTCCATGGTGTATAATCCAGTGAATCATGGATCAGTGATAGTCTGTTTAAATCCCTGACTGCTCAAAAGAATTTCTGGTGATCTGAACACTACTTATTAATATTTAAATGAATTTTTAAATGAGTGCATTATGCATTCCAGGACCACTAGAGTTTAGTAAATGTGAAATGACCCTTTTTAAAGAGTATTTGCACAATTGCTTAAAATTTATATATGAGATATATATTATATATAAAATTTTATAAATTCATGCCAACATGAAACATCTTCGATCTGGTTGTCACACTGCATTTAAATATTTAGTACTGTACTTCAAATTCACTCACTTTGCATTGAATCAGATCCAACTTTATTTTCTGTCTCAAGAGACCAGTTACACCTTTGTGAAATGAACTGGCATTACTGTTTCAGTTCAGTGACAGCTAATCTTGAACCCATCCCTTCTCCCAGCCTTTAATTTCTTTGGACACTGGTCTCTGAAAATGCATCTGTTGAAAACAAAACTAACATCCAAAAACCTTCCCTCTTGTCTTGTGAGGCAGCCACATCATCCCTTACCAACCCTAGTGGATGACTGCTTACTATGTGCAGCCCTCTGAAGAATCAGCTGATTGTTGTCATCCATTAGAGAGGGATTGGGGAAGAAAATAGCATCATCGTATTGGCAGTGTAATCTGTTTGTTACCTGGGCATCCCTCAGATGCTCATTGTTAGTTTAATCCATCCAACTACCTTTCTTGCGCATCTTTCTTTGAAGCCTTCACCGGAACTTGATGGGTTTGCTGTAGCAGCCTCCCTGTGAACTCTGTCCCAGCTGTAACAGCTATTGCACTGCCACTCGCTGTTTCCTAGGGAACTTTTTCTTCTCCCATGTTGGCTCCGACTCGCTCACTCCAGCCCTGGGTTTTGAGATATTCATTGCGAATTACCAGGAAATGTTCCATTTGCAGATTAAGCCTGATACTTAACCGTCAGAAACCCAGAGCTCCATCCTCCTTACCTGTTTGGACATTCCCTAAGATTAAAGCTAAGGGAACACTCAGGAATGGAGGAGGAGTGGCTGGGCATCTGCCTTTTCTTCTCATCCTAACTCTTGACGGATGAGTCATCCACTATTTCACAAAGAATCTGGAGGTCTCCAGCTCTGCCAGAGTAACGATCCACTGTTATTTTATGGCACAGATTCTTGTATGGAGGGGCCTTCTTTGAAAAATACACTTTTCATTTGTTTTCTCAGATATTTATGTTCTTTTTTTGCTTACTCCGGGGCTGGTAGCATAGTCGGAAATGTCAGCACCTGGCATTCAGTTAGTAACAGGCTGTACTCAAGACAACCTTCGGCATTTACTTTGATATAATTTATTTCCCTTTTGTATGTACTATAGTCTTGTGCATATGTAGTTGAACAAACAGTGGAATATATGTCTATCTTTGTGGATGTGTGGCCTAAACATTTGAATGTCTGGTGAGAGAGAGCCATGTGTCATAGGTCAGAAGAAAAGACAGCTCTCAACTCCTGATTAGTGTCTGTGATTTGCTTACCTTTGTGTTTATCTGGCCGAGTGTGCTGTTGCTTTAAAGCAGGAAGAAGTTTTTTTTTTTTTTCCCTCTGCTGGAGGCTCTTCTCACCTGTCCAGCCTGGCACATCAGGCAGCACTTCACCCATGACAGTGCCCTTTTAACAAGTTGACTTTATTTGCAGTAAAGTCTCGTTGCCTCAAGATGTCCTGCATCAAGATGGACTTTTCCTTTCCAGAAACAGGATCAAATATTTGCTCACTCTTGGTATTGGGTGGACTGTTTTAACCAGGCTCCAGCATTGCAAGGATGGAAGAAGGTCTGTAAGCCAAGCCAAGGAGGAAACGCCAAGAAAAGTGAACATACTGTTCATTTTTGCCACCCCTTTCTGTTTGCTTATTGTAGGTTGCCTTACTGCGTGTAAAGTTGTTTTCAGTGCAATGCTTGTCAAATAAATATTGTGAGCTATTTTGTAAATGAAATGTATTATGTTAAAAGCTGTCAGCAGTTCAGAAATAAGCTTTTTTTGTTGTTTGAAGACAACATGTGTTAGATGACGCCAAAAAGCCAAAAAAAGTAATTTCATATATAGCACCTGTTTGAATATAATCTTTCTTTATGATCTCTCATAGCATAGCCTTTTTAGTGCTAAGAAAGAATCTCTATGTAATATTTTGTCATAATAATGGCTTGCTAACAAAGTACATGGTCAAAGTACAGAGTTGGAAGATGGCAAGTAACTTGGTGAGACTGGCTGCAAATCCTTGCAGAATGGAGGAGTCTCTGCCCGCTGGCTGTCTCTCTCTTCGACCTCTCTACAACCATCGCCTGCTCCTAGACGTCCTGTTTGCAGCAAGCTGCTTCTGGGGTCACTCTTTTCGAATACTTTCACTTTAGACTGTGTCACAGGCAGAAAAGGAGTTGATGGAGAATGGACTCTTTAAAAACTGACATGTTTGAATCAACGCTAGAGGGAACAGATTGTGAATTTTGTTTACAGCATCCAATATTTGGATTTTTTTTTTGTAAATAAAAAGAAGTTATTTTTTTCTATTGATTTGTGTGTTGTCTTCCGTGTCTGTGCTGGCTAAAGACTGTATCCTCTGAGTCCAGCCGTGTCCATGAGAAAAGATGGGGCAGTGTTTGGAGAAGACCCACCTTTATCAACTTCTGATTGGAGTACAAGTCACTAAAATGCCCAGTTTACAGCCAGCCCAACTCTTGACTGGCTCAGTCGGCTCCATTAGAATCTAGATAATGAGTACTGACATTTTGAATCTGGTTATGAGCTTAGCTGTGTTAAGTGCCCCAGGCAGAGCTGTCTTCCAGGATCAGTAGTGGCTCCTGACTCTGGACTGCAGGGCTGTTGTAGCCTTGAGGGGCCTTTGGTTCTAGGGAGTAGCCCAAGTGCTGTGATGAGGTCATCACCGGTTTTATGTGTATCATCTAAGGCTCTATAGTGTTACTCAGAGTGTTCACCTTGGGAGGAAGGGAGGGCCTTTTGAAAGTCACTAATTGGAAGGAAGAGTGATCACAGGATCTAAATTGTGCTTTGTTTGTGTGCATGTACTGAGTGCAAAGACATTGCTCTTTGACAAGCATTTCATGTAATCTCACCTGTTCAGATTGCCAGGGAGCAGCCACTTATTATTATTTTTTTCTTTGTGTTTTTTGGAGACTTTCTCACTACTAGTAGCATGAGAGTTTGGTAAGCCTCAGCTATTATAGGACATCCTTGTGGTTTATGAAACCATTGAAAGTTCTGATGTTGGACAGAATGCATGCTTGACACTGTATCTGAGAAAGAGCCATTCCTGGTATTCAAAGCCAGTTTCCCTCACATACACATTATAAAAATACAAGGTGGTTATTTGCTTTGGTGGTGGTATTTGTGTGGCATTCTCTTCTTCCTTTGTTGCAACCTCTTCATTTTTTTTACAACCATCCCTTGCATGTCTGTGGTCATCACCAAGACTCCTTTTTAAGCAAGGGTTGAATAAGGACAGTGTATATTAAGCTCCTACTT